TTAGAGACATCTGACTTTTCGGACTAAACTCAGTCCGTCTTCAAGATACAATGACAAAAGGCACGTAATGTTTTCACTCGGATTTGGTCAATCAGACACTCGCAAGCTATTGCATGGTTTGCGGCAGAAGGTAACAACTACGTGATGACTGATTGGTAGCTCTGCACCTGTCTTTATGCAAATATCCATTACAAAGAGTCGAGTTCGGCGAGGTATTTATAAGATCGACCATCCATTTTTGTGTCCAATGTTTCCTATGCCAGGAACGCCAGGTATGCACTTTACAACTCCATTTCTGCTAGCCACAACATGGAGTTGGCTTTTTCTTCTCAAACCGCCGCTGTCTCCAATGGGGGGGAGGCAATTAGAATGATCTTCTTTTTCAGCTTTCGGTAATCTGAAAGGACAAGTGTCATCGAAACTGGCTGACTACATTTTTGAAACCTCCATGAATTATCCCATCATATTAAGCGCACCAACGTGGTGATATGGTTTTGCGGATGGTATTCGCAACAGCCATACAAGGGGTTTTTGAAACAGTTCATTGGGAAAACCAGGGACTCATGATAAATGGCCACTATTGAAGAACACTCCTTTTTTGCTGAAGGCATTCTGATGTTGTCAAGGTCAACAGAACAGCTCTGAAAAAGTGTTCAATAGCTGAACAATGTCAGCCTCACAGTAAAACTAGAAATGGACCTGAAGGAGACCCAGATCACGTTTAGCAAATACTTGAGCACGCGACCTGTTGAAGTCAAAGTGCTTAAGCTTAAAGAATGCGAAATTTCGTTTTTTTTGGCACGTAGAACATAGCTTATCTCTGCAGCGTAGAATTAAATGTTAAATGAAGATGAGAAAAAATGGCATGGTGTACCTTTGGAGGATTTAAAATATTTTTATTTGGAAAGCGTCCTTGTGCTTAAAATAGAACGTATTCATTCAGTATGTGGTAGAGCAGGCAAACGTTCACCCTATGAATGAAAGTTATTCATAAACTGCAGGCTAAACTGCAAACCATTTAAAGAATGAATAAGCACACAAGCAACAGTCAACGGACTCATTGCAGGAGTGAAAAAATTGAAATAGCAAATGGCAGGGAAGGTTGCAAGAGGAATCGACCATCGCTGGATCAACGTAACAATGGATTGTATTCCAAAAAGGCGCAATCTGCTAGTAGGACGACCCACGGATCGATGGCAGGAACAGGCAGGCTGAAGAAGCTCATTGGATAAAGTTGGACAGTAATCTCAGGAAGCAGAATTTTATGAAATCTCGAAAGAGGCATAAGATTAAACAAATCTGATGATCAAGGGTACTCTTTGCTGTTATGACATCTCTGTTGATAAATATTGACGTTAATATATTGGACAAATGTTTAGCAGCTATTCCGTTATATATTGCATAGAAACGGTTTTCACTCTATTTTATGAAAGGCCCTTAGTAAGTCTCAAAATAATGAAATATGTGTAAGCAGATTTCTGATTCAATGTCTAATGGCACATCGTTAGCGGCGCTTTTATCAACGTAGGTTAAAGGGTTACTGTTTAAAAGTCCGAAGAATTTTTGAGGTTTAACGGTTTAAAGCTTTGAAAAACTAGGTTATCATCCATCTAACGTAACAGATGAAAGTCCTGGTTATACAACGTCTTGGAATAGAGAATTAAGACCGTATAATTCATTTCGTATCAGTACCATAGGATTATCTGCTGTGTTGCAGTTGCGGGTTGCATTTGCTATGTGCCATATGCTCTTTGTCGTCAGCCCCGTACCATTCATTCTTCCGGCGACCTACCTCTCGCCACGTGACACCAATATGGTATAACAACTCTCAGCAGATTAAAGCGGATTTAATTTTTCCAGTAGTATATGTAAGTATATGCATGTAGCGAGGAGGCCTTCATGCTGAAAGTCGATGATCAAAATGGCGAGTTTTGCAAACGCGAAAAAAAACGTTAATGAACCTGTACTGTTGACCTATGAATCCACTGATGCGATTCTTCTGCCATTGACGCGCTGACGTTTCCTCAGCGTACAGCAGACCGCTAAGAGGCATCGCCGCCGTTCATCGCTCACAGCGTTGTCTGGTTTGTCGGCTGACGACGAACTTTGCGAAACTCGTTTGCGCCTCTCCTGTGGGTGGAACGAGAATGAAAAAGTAATATCCTCAAATATCAGGCCAACTTTTAAACCAACGCGTTATCCATTCAAAATGACAGCACATCTATATGAATTTGAAATTTATGGCTGTCGTAAAGTGTTTCATATTTTGGACCCGAAGGTTGTACGATGAATCATTCCATTCATGAAATGTCACTATTTACCGACATTGGCATAGGGGAATCTGCGATAGGCCGATTTATTGGCGCAGTTCTCAACGGAAAAGGACATACGGATTCGGCTGTTATCATTGTCACGTTATTCGTCGTTGTTCCAATCAACGTAGCATCGTTGAAATCCATTTACGGTGGATATTTGTGCAGTGGCGATCACAATAATCGAGGACACTGTCGGCGCTACCGTCCTCTCACTGATCCTGCTTATCAGTTTAAAAATAACATCACTCTAAAGAGTTCTCGGAGAAAATGAATGCAGCTCAAAGATTTGGCCCTGTCTCTGACCAGAAACGAAAAGTACAAACGCGCAGTGGTTCCTCAAATTGTTTATGAACGAGAAACAGCAGCAACATCTATTGCAAAGTCTTCTCTTATGATAACAATACTGCATGACTTTTGAAACTTACGTTAATTCTGTCTTATTCAATAGATCGCTATATTAATGGTACTGGACATAAAGAAACAGGCAGGTAATAGTCCTCCATTATAACTGCTGACGTTTCAGTCAAACTAAACAGGCCATCCTCAAGCCAAAACCCTGGAGAGTTCACAGATGTTTTCGTCTTTGCCATTTAG